CCGTGTCCCCCTGTCCGTCCCTGTGTGCAGGAGGGCAGAGCAGCCCCAGCTCTGCTCCAGGCCCAGCTCTGCCCCAGAGCCCCGGGCAGGGGCTGAGCCCAGGAGCTGCCCTGGGCAGTGCCAGCCCTGAGCAGAGCCCAGAGAGGGGCTGGAGTCTCCTCCCGGGGACATTCCAGAGCCACAGGGACACCCTGCTGTGCCCTGAGCTCTGGGATGGCCCTGCTGGAGCAGGGAGTGGCACCAGGGACCCCATGGGGTTCTCCCAGCCTGTGACAGGGACTGGTGAAGACCAAACACCAGCACTCCAAACACCCTCCCCTTCCCTCTTCCCTCAGCTCTGTGTGCTGTGTGGGCTGGGATATCACAGAGTCCCAGAGTGGCTTGGGTTGGAAAGGATCTTAAATCCCATCCAGGGACACCTCCCACTGTCCCAGGTGCTCCAAGCCCTGTCCAGCCTGGCCTTGGGCACTGCCAGGGATCCAGGGGCAGCCACAGCTGCTCTGGGAATGTGTGCCAGGGCCTCCCCACCTTCCTCTATCTGACCCAGATGATTTGGTAAATAAACGATAAAAATCTCTTTTCTCAAACCCCTTGGGTCAGTTGGGCTCAGCTGTCCCAGCTGTGTCACCTTCCCTGTGTCCTCCCAGTCTCTCACTGGTGGGTGAGGAGCAGAACAGCCCCTGGCTCTGGGCATCCCTGTGCAGTCAGCCCAATTCCAAACCTGGGCATGCACTTGATGCTTTTGGGAAGGTTTTTCCTTTCTGTAGTGTCCCCAGGATGTTCTAAATGTCCTCAGGGAATCAGGGGGAGAGGGTGGGAACACCTGAGAGCTCAGGGCTGGGTGTGATCCGGGTGATTTTCACTGCTGGTTTTAATCCCTCTGTGTGGGATTCCCATGGAAACCCCCCTGGGAAGTGTTGCCTCTGCTCGTGTCCTGTCCGCACCACAGCTGGGGGTTTGGATTTGTTCCTTGCAGCTCTGCAGGGGTGAAAACCTCCTGAAACTGTGGCCCTTGATGTCATTGGTGCATTTGTGTTCCTTCCTCATTTCTGGATCTCTTGTGGTTGCTGGTGGCCTGTAGGAAAACTGGAGAAGCCAAACAAATGGTGAAATAAAATGTAAAAGCCAAACAAAGTGCTGGGGAATGCACATTCCTGGCTCTTCCATGGATGTGAAGCATTCCCATGAAGTCCAGTCCTTGTTTTGGGTGATCAGGAGCCCGTGGCAGCTATCTTACAGTGGTGTTAAGTGAGATTTGGTGCCAGAGCTCCACACAATTAAAAATCACCAAATATGCCATTAAATATAAGTATTTGGGGAGATTGTAGCTTGTTCTGTCTGACTCTAAGTTGAGGAGAAAACAGAAACTGAATTTTTTTACATTTTTTCTGTAACAGGTGTTTGAAGCCAGGGACTGGGGGTTCTGGGTTATTTTTTGTTAGTTTTTAAAATCCATCAATTTCTATGTAGAATTAACTCAGGGAACTATTTCAGACCATGTTTTTTCTTATTACACCACCTGCAGGCAGTCCTGGTGGGTGTCATTCTGGGCTGGAGCATTCCTGCTTTTATTTTTTTAAATACACCAACTTCTGTGTAGGATTAACTTAGGGAACTATTTCAGACCATCTCTTTATTTTTTCTTTTTTTCTCCATTATTTTTATTACTTCTACAGCACTTCTACAACCTACAGGGAGTTCTTGTGGGTCTGGGGGTGAACTGCTGCTGTGATGCTGGGCTGAGCCATTCCTGGTTTTAGTTTTTGTTTATTTTTTTAAATACATCAATTTCTCAGTGGAAGTCACTCGGTGAACTATTTCAGACCATCTTGTTTTATTTTTCCCCACCTTTACTGCAACACCTCCAAGAAGTTCCGGTGGGTTTAAGGGTATGATGTTGGGATGGAGTATTCCTGGTATTTTTAAATTTCATTATTTTAAAATTTTAATTTTTAAAATAATGGAGTATTTCTATTTTATTTTTAAAAAGAAATTTCTCAGTAGAATTAACTATTTCAGACCTTCCCTATTTTTCCTCCCTCCAAGGAGTTCTGCTGGGTCTGGGGGTGTGACGGAGCAGTCCTGCTTTTAGTTTTTATTATTTTTAGACACATCAATTTCTCCATAGAGTTAATACAGAGAACTGTGTGAGACCATGCCTTTATTTTTCCCTCCTGTACTCCACCACCTCTGGGCAGTTCTGCTGGGTCTAGAGGTGTGATGGAGCAGTCCTGCTTTTAGTTTTTATTATTTTTAGACACATCAATTTCTCCATAGAGTTAATACGGAGAACTGTGTGAGACCATGCCTTTATTTTTCCCTCCTGTACTCCACCACCTCTGGGCAGTTCTGCTGGGTCTAGAGGTGTGATGGAGCATTCCTGCTTTTCGTTTTTCTTTTTTTCAATACATCAGTTCTCCGTAGAATTAATTTGGTGAATGATTTCAGACCATGCCTTTATTTGTCCCTCCTGTACTCCAGCACTGTGTGGAGGGTGGAATGCTGGGCTGGAGCATTTTCCTGACCCCTTTTCCCTCCCCATGCAGCCGCACGCCCGGGAACTGCCAGAACTCGGCGAGCGAGGTGGATCTGCTGGGCCCCAGCCAGAACGGCTCCGAGGGGCTGGCCCAGCTGGCCAGCACCAACGGGGCCAAGCCCGTGGAGGACTTCTCCAACATGGAATCCCAGAGCGTGCCCCTGGACCCCATGGAGCACGTGGGCATGGAGCCGCTGCAGTTCGATTACTCCGGCACTCAGGTCCCCGTGGACTCGGCTGCGGCCACCGTGGGGCTCTTTGACTACAATTCCCAGCAGCAGGTACAGAGCTGGTCCTGATCCCTGATTCCTGAATCCCCGATCCTGATCCCTGAATCCCTCATCCTGTTCCCCAATCCCTGTTCCCCGATCCCCAATCCCTGTTCCCTGATCCCTGTTCCCCAATCCCTGTTCCCCGATCCCCGTTCTTGATCCCTGATCCCGATCCCTGTTCTTGATCCCTGTTCCCTAATCCCTGTTCCCTGATCCCTGATCCCTGTTCCCGATCCCCATTCCTTGATCCCGGATCCCTGTTCCCGATCCCTGATCCAGCCCTGTGGCTCCAGTGCAGTCGGTGTGGGGTGGGATGAGCTCAGGATCCTGTCCTGGGAAAAGGGAAGACTGGAGGTGTTGTCATTGTCTTCGTGCTGTGTGTGTCCTCCCAGGGAACTAGAGCAGATCTGTGTCCCATGGCAGCTGGAATAATCAGAATTCCCACAGCAGTTCCCACAGCACTGCCCTGTCTGGTGATCCTGGCTGTCTTGAGGAGCTGGCATTGAAAAACAGCTTTAAAGTAGTGAAAAGTGCTAAAAAGATCCCCAAACACCCACCCTGGAGCCCAGGAAGTGACTGAGAGCCAGCACATGCTCAGCAAAGGGGTGAGCCCTGCACTGGGCTTTGCTGAGCCCCACATTGGGTTTTGTTGAGCCCCAAATTGGGCCCTCCTGGTCCCCACATTTAGCTCTGCTGAGCCCCATGGTGGGCTGGGCTGAGCCCAGGTGTGAGCCCAGGTGTGAACCCTGCTTGATTCCAGGTTTGAGCCCAGGTGTGAGCCCTGCTGGGCCCAGGTGTGAGCCCAGGTGTGAGCCCAGGTGTGAGCCGTGCTGGGCCCAGGTATGAGCCCAGGTGTGAACCCTGCTTGATTCCAGGTGTGAACCCAAGTGTGAACCCAGGTGTGAGCCCAGGTGTGAGCCCTTCTGGGCCCAGGTGTGAGCCCAGGTGTGAACCCTCTTAATTCCAGGTGTGAACCCAAGTGTGAACCCAGGTGTGAGCCCTGCTGGGCCCAGGTGTGGGCCCAGGTGTGAACCCTCTTAATTCCAGGTGTGAACCCAAGTGTGAACCCAGGTGTGAGCCCTGCTGGGCCCAGGTGTGAGCCCAGGTGTGAACCCTCTTGATTCCAGGTGTGAACCCAAGTGTGAACCCAGGTGTGAGCCCTGCTGAGCCCCACACTCAGCTTTGCTCAGCCAGAGCAGCCTGAGGTAATTACAAGTTCAAACCTTCAGTTTGAGCCTGGTTTAAACCCTAAGGGCAGAGTCCACGGCTCCAAACCTTTATCTGAGCCTGGCTTAGGTTTGTTTGACCTTTCTCCCACACAAGCCCAGACTCCCTTGGCTCCTCCTGAATGCTGGGCCTGGCTCCAGCAATCGACTCCTGCTCTGCTCCTGTTCTGCTCCTTTGGGTAATGATTCTAAACTTTATTGCTCTCCCTTTGCAAGCCTGATATCCCTCAAAGTAGAAGGGAATCCTTTGTTGTAGCTGATTGCAGGGATATATAACTCTCCCTGGCTTCCCTAAAATATCTGATTTTTTTAGCAGAAGAGCCTCTGGCACTCTGGAGTGAGGGAAAGCATTGCCAAGTTTGTGCTGAGTTATCTCACAGCCTTAAAAGCAATGTAAATATCTGTGTTGGAGCTCAATTGGCTGCTCTGTTCTACAGCATCTTTGGGAGGTTAATGATGGAAAATTTAATGATAAAACTAAATTGTAGAGTTCAAAAAGGAAAGCAACCAGATAGTTCCAAGTCTTTGTCTTGCTCTGGTGTAAGGACTGGGATGCCAGAATTCCTTCTAAACCAGGAAAGTTGTGTGTTTTTCAAAACATTAGGGCTCCACAGTGAGCTGCTTCTGGAAAAGCATTAGAGATGGAGCTGGAATGGCAGGAGTGGGAAGCCTGTAATTTGCATTTTGTCAGGGTTTTCCATTTAAGTGAAGGCTCATTTACAAGTTTGAGGAGTTTTTATTTGTTTCTTTCAGCCTTTAAAAATTAAAATTTCAAATTTGGCACATCTGGCACCTCACTAGTGGAAATAAACCCTCCCAAAGGAAGGCAGAGCAGGGAAGGGTCTCTGTTTCAGAGGGTTTCTGCCTGGGTTTGCATTTTTTATTTCATACCAAGTGAATGGGCACTGTCCGTGCGGAGCTGATGTCACCTGTGTGTCACCAGCTGTCTGGGAATCATGGAATCACTGAGGCTGGAAAAGCCCTCTCAGAGCATCAAATCCAAGCTGTGCCCAGTCCCCACCTTGTCCCCAGCCCAGAGCACTCGGTGCCACCTCCAGGAATTCCTTTGGCACCTCCAGGGACGGCCACTCCAAACCCCCCTGGGCAGCCCCTGCCAAGGCCTGAGCCCCTTTCCATGGGGAAATTCCTGCTGCTGCCACCCTGAGCCTGCCCTGGCCCAGCCTGAGGCCGTTCCCTCTCCTCCTGTCCCTGTTCCTGGAGCAGAGCCCGACCCCCCGGCTGTCCCCTCCTGTCAGGAGCTGTGCAGAGCCACAAGGTCCCCCTGAGCCTCCTTTGCTCCAGGCTGAGCCCCTTCCCAGCTCCCTCAGGGATTCTCCAGCCCCTTCCCAGCTCCCTCAGGGATTCTCCAGCCCCTTCCCAGCTCCCTCAGGGATTCTCCAGCCCCTTCCCAGCTCCCTCAGCCTCTCCTGGGGCTGCAGCCCCTTCCCAGCTCCATTTCTGTGTTGTGAAGCCCAAATCCCCTCTCACCTCTCCCTGATTTTGGGGGAGCAGTGGGGACACAGCTGCTGTCCTTTGGTCCCCCCAGGCCCTTCTGGGCTGTCAGACAAGATCTGTTATTTTCAGTTTTCACCCTTGTGGCAGCTTCCACCTACAGTGAAAGCAAACTGGGGCCTTTAGTCAGCCTGAAGTGCTGCAGTAAAGATCAGGAATCATTCCTCAGGGTCTTGTGCCCATTCCCTTAACTCCTGATTCCCAAAGCCAGGGGTCCTTGCTGCCCACTGCCGCTCTCGGCCTGGATGAAAGGAATCTGACTTTTGCCATTCTGTTGGCATCAGGAAATCTGTCCTGAACAAGGGATCTTATTCCTAAAAGTGCCTTTTGGGGTTGTGGGGAAGCATCCCATCCTTGGAAGGGATTCCAGGGAGCACAGCTGAAGGCAGTGTGAGGAAGGGGAAGGTTCTACCCGTGTCTGATCTGATTAGGGATGTCAGATGCTGGTATTGCAGAAGAAATTGGCTGAGGGAAATCTAACTTCCAGAATTCCCATAACTGGGGTTCTGCTTCCTTGCAGTTCCCTCAGTGAGCTGCTCCACGTGGTGGAAATCATCCTTCATTTGTCTGCACATGGAACAGCCTCACTGAAATGTTGGCTGATCTCCCTGAACTCCTCCAGAACCGTCTCAGGGTTTTGTAGCTTTTCACTCCAAATGCATTTCCCAGCAGCCTGAAATGCCCCAGGTGCCCTTTTCTGATACCTTTGTAAATTCAGGTTAATATTCCTGTTGCAGAGGTTCCCTGGCCTTTTCCTACTCCTCAATCCCACCTTTTAGCACTGATCTCTGGGTTTGGAATGTGGGGCTGTGCTGTCAGCAGATGCAGACAGCACAGCGAGGCTTTGACAGCTCTCCCTAAATCCGTGGAGTTGATGATTCCCAGAGCTCCCCTGGCTTCTCTGCCTGAGGAAAGGCTGCAGTTGGGATGGTTTTTCTTGGCTCTGCTTCCTTGGACAGGCTACAGGATGAAATCTGCAGCGGGGCTGAGTTTTTTCTGAGGGAGCTGAGCAAGGCTGTGAATTAAAGTGGGGAGAGGGAGAGATCACAGAATCCTGGAATGGTTTGGGTGGGAAAAGACTTTAAAACTCATCCAGTTCCAGCCCCTGCCATGGCAGGGACACCTTCCAGTGTCCCAGGTGCTCCCAGTGTCCAGCCTGGCCTTGGGCACTGCCAGGGATCCAGGGGCAGCCACAGCTGCTCTGGGAATTCCAGCCCAGCCCCTGCCCACCCTGCCAGGGAACAATTCCATCCCAAGATCCCATCTAAATCCCTCCTCTCTTAGTTTAAGGCTATTCACCCTTGTCCTGTGCTGTAAAAAGTCCTTCTCCAGCTTTCTTGCAGACCTTTTATGTCTGGAAGTCAAATTTTGCAGGGACTAGATGAGCCCCCAGAGCAGGCAGACAACAAAGAGAGCCAAGAGCAGCAGGTGAAATATTGATGGTGAAGTACTGAGGCTCTGATTGGGTGTGGATTCCTTTCTCTCAGTTTTTCTGATTCCCAGGTGGTTCATTGAGCTGGCATTTGAGAGGTGTGGTAGTCTTCACATGTGTAAAGCGAGCACAAGTGATTTTA